TGAGGTGGGCACCCAGGAGTGTGGCTTGAGAATGCGCTCTACTGGTGCGCTGCTGACTGCGTAGTTATTCTCGTAAATCATTTTACGGGCTTCGCTAACCAAAGTTCCTCTTTTTTGAGGATTGCGTTCCAGGGTCGAGCATTGCTGTCTATCCCGGGGTCTCCCCATGTCCTGTATCCGATCCTTTGGAATGAGGCAACGGGGACATGGGCACCCTCCCAAATTTCGAACTGTGGCTATAAGAACTCTGGCGAAATCAGAATCAACAATATCGAACCAGAAATAAATCATGTACTTCTCAGGATAATCTGCAGAGTACGTGAAAATCCGAGGATAAAATCTACGCATGATGCCATCGCAACAGCGAATGACAATTACATGCGCGTACGCCTCTAGAAACTCCTCGTCCAGTAATATATTCCACTGCTTCTGAAATAACTCCCGATGACAGTGAGTCGCACTCTCACTGATTCCGCCAGTAAAGTCTTTGAATGCGTCGGGGAGCTGGCAACGCGACGTTAAGTATAAATTAAAGCCCACAAGCTTGGCACACGTACTGTTTCGAAGTAAGCAACGTGGTTGCTCAAGTGACACGACGGCTTGCAACAGCGATACTTGGACTCGTTCCCGAAGTACATGTATGTAGGCCAGAGCTTAGCAGTTCCAAATGAAGTCAGTTGCATGGCGTCTGACCAGAACATCAGAGCAGCCACCACTCGGGGTAAGTCACAGCCTGGTTCCCCTGGCGATTCTTGCAGTTGGCTATGGGCCTCATGGAAACACGCAGACGTGTACAGATCCCCGTGTATAAGGACTTCGTCATCTAGATGGGGGGGGGGGGGGGGGGGGTTCCAACGAAGCTGGTATGGCTCATAATGGAAAAGTTTGTCATCTCGAGCGTTAGCGAGCTTCTCCCGTATGACTGCCACCAGGGAGCGATGGTACAAATTTGCAGCTCTGTAAAGTCGAGTACCTGGTGCATCAGAAGTGCGAGAAAAAGGAACCTTAATGGAAACCGGTGTGCATTTCCATCCAGCATCTTTGTCTTCCCATTCATCTCCATCTTCCTCGTCGTACTCATTCATACCCAGCTGGCAGTTAATCTTCTTCCAATGAGTAGACGTCACATTGGCGACATTGAATGTATTATCGCCCAAGATTCCAAGCAGTTTAGTATAGTCACTTTGCGATTTTTGGATCCCCTGATTCCAATACCAATCGCCAAGTTGAAAGGAAGAGCGGTTTGGATAGGGGTGGTACTGAGACTCGCTGCTCGAAGTAGTCAATGGATGAGTTTGCTCAGAAACTTGGGAGCTGCCCGGTAAAAGCGAGAGGTCTGCAAGAGTTACATACTCTTCCGGATCGTGGGGTGGCGGTTGCAAGGAAAAGTATTGACGCACCAGCCCAAATATATTTGGAGGGGTACGAAAAACCTGTGCGCGTGTGCAAGGCGGGTCGTTGACATAGTGACTACAGATCCGACAGATTCTGGAGGTTGGTTTCACACTTCCCTGGGCACCGTAGGTGGAGGTTGTGGAAGTACATCCCTATATCTCAGGGGCAGCTGGTGGTTCTGACGTTGCAATCTCCGCCATGCCAAACTAACGTCCTCTCCTCCATCAATGTCTCCTACTTCACAATCTGGGGGTGTAATCCCTCCTCCAGAGGTAGGCCGAGCAGGATGGACTCCAGCCTCAGAATATTGAGTGGCCGTAGAAGCATTGGTATCATCCGAGCTAAGGGCAACGGGCAATGCATCGGGCACTTCCCTCGGCGTTTTATGCACCTCAAGAGGGCTGGGTGAGGTGCGCGCCCTTTTTTTGCATCCTACAAATTCTTTAAAGGAAGATAGAGCCGATGACAATCGCTTTTTCATGTGAATACACGAGCGCTGATGTTGGCTGAAGTAGTTTTGGGCAGTGAAGATTTGCTTGCAGGTGCAGGTATAACTAGATGACATGGAGGGGTGACTGGAGCATGAAGCCTGTTATCGTTTGTGATTTTAAATTGTTGATGGAGTTGCATGCTCGTAGCCAAGAACAAATGAGGATGGCACGACGCGGCAATTATGGTATGGTACACTGGTAGCCAGATACACTCAGAATGGTGCGGCTATTGTCATTTAGGCAGCCTGGAACCGGATCGCGCAGAGATCACCGAACACCTATATAACCTCCCATGCGAATTCAACTGGGAACCGCTTGACATGTCCATTCCATCTTCTCCATGCTCTGAATGTTCAACGCTCGCATCTCCGGAATTCGAAGCTGACCCCAACGTCGTAGGGTTGCTAGTAAGAATCCTAACTGCGCGTCATGGTATTCTTCATTACCATGGGCAGATGGGGGAACTATCAACATATTTATGGTAAATTTTCGGGAAATCGGTTCCTCACTCACGATGAGGCCAACCCTACAGGCCAACCAATCGGCGTGGACTAAAAATCCACCCTTCACAATTTGCAGCTTATCGTCAGACGCACATTTTTCGATATCCGTGTTGTCTTTGCGCAACAGGTGACAGATATGTTGAGGCATCGGTCTTTCAGCGACCTAGTGGAATGTCCCAAGGGCAGTACGTTGCTGAGTGCGCGACCAGCACTTGTGGTTATATGTGTAAGGTGGTCCTAGAATTAAGCCTGATGGACAGCTAATATTCAATGTAGTGAATGTGGAGAAATTCATCGGGATACCCTACGTACCGGCAATGTACTATCCCCAAAAAAGTGCCCTTACTCGCATTAACATTCGAAATGTCCTCCCGCCAAGTGACGTCATGTCAAAACTTGGATACGTTGAATCTACAGCCTTCATTAATATCCTGCTTATACAAAGAGGGGGTAGATCTCACGATCATCTCATCCACTTGCCCGGTAGTTTGCGTAACCGTATATCAGAGGTACACACGGCACGTTGATTATTCATTGTATCTAGTACTTTTGAACCATATGATATCACAAATTCAATCGTGTGCTACAAACAAATCTAACTATTCGGAGGTTTGCTATGGATGGTGAGAAAGGTGAGCAAAGTGAAGCAAAGAGGATTATATACGGATTGACTTTGTGAATCAAACTCCGCCAGCAGCACCCGCCGCTCACCATCATCTCCTGGTGATGCATCGTTGAATTCGTCTAAATATATAGCCCTTTAAAATTCCCTACAAAGCTAACTATTCGGAGGTTTGCTATGGACGGTGAGAAAGGCGAGCAAAGTGAAGCAAAGAGGATTATATACTGATTGACTTTGTGAATCAAACTCTGCCGGCAGCACCCACCGCTCACCATAATCTCCTGGTGATGCATCAGTTGAATTCATCTAAATATATAGCCCTTTAAAATTCCCTCACGTTTACAATACTACAAGCGGTTGCACATTGATTCATAGTAATAGACGTCTGTATACTACAGTTAGCCATTGTCTTTTCCTCTCCTAGGCCCTTCCAGCTGTCAGTATGTTTCGTCATTGTCCATGTGATTTCACATCAACAAGCCAGAGGTGTGTCGACAAGGTTGTGCAGGAGGTTTGCTATAATCAAAGTTCACGTTACACCTTGTTCAACACTTGAAAACAGTGAAAGGTTGTTACAATACGGTGAGTGCAGTTAGAGAACGAGGAGAAACAGATATGCGCGACAGATAGTAGGAATAAAGGCAAAACGAATCTATGGTTGATGGATGGATCTCGCGACCTGCAATGTCTGTTGAGTAAAGGTTTCAGCTAAATAGCAGGACGTCTTACACTCTCAAGCAACATGGTAACTTCGGGTGTGACGCGAATGAACTCCTGTGCGTGGAAGCCCCCATTATTGACTAATCGATTGGCCAGACGACTGATACCATGCTAGAACGTTATCCAAGGCTGAAGAGGTTAATTGAGCAAAAGATCTTGACTCGCGAGTAAGCCTCACCATTGTTTGGTGCACTCGATGATCGAGTTACACTGCTGGAGTACTTATTGGATACAGTCGACTCCACGTCTAGAACCGACCTAAGAAGCACATTGAGTTATAAGTACGTGTATTACGATGCACAGCCAACTTTAATACAAAAAATGCATGTAGAACACACAAATGCAGATGAATTCAGTGTATGCGTCAGATTCAAGGCACTGGGCGGCGACCTTATACGAGAACACGGTATAATAGAGGAAAGGGTCATCAAATGCAAGTTACAAAACCAAACTCACTTGCTCGCGTCGGTAACATGAGACTCCGGTTGAAAATCTTGAAAAATAGGTTCGTGGGTCTGTGGGGCGAGATATCTTTGGCTTGCGTATGGCCACTGAACTGGTGCTACATCGAGGTTCACCTGCACTTGACGCCAAGCATGGATCAGATGGCTTTCGGAACCATCTTGAAGGCTTGGAGAGCAGGTGAGCAAAGCCGGATGGAGAATTGGAAATGTGCTTGAGGGAATTGAAAGTGAGCAGGAGAGGTCGGGGTAGAAGAAGGATGCACTGCGGCATCCTGGGAGCTGAGAGAGTTGAGAGCAGGAGTGCTACGTCGAGGTGGCATATTGTAAACAATTAAAAACGAGCGATGAAGGTCTTGAGGGACTGAATTGTGTTACAATTTTGTCGATGACAACAGTATACACCTATGTTGATGTAAGCATGTTATTACCAAATAGAAGAGTACTCACATTCCCTGTAGAGCCCTAACACGCTAAACTCCTCATGTAGCTCATCGCCGGTACACTTTCGGTCGACCATGAAAAATCTCGGTCGTGATCTATGACATGTTCTACCGAATACAGGAGAAAACAATGAAGCGCTCCAGAAGGACACGAGCCATTACTTCACGGAAGCGATCGTCCTTCACTTCCACAAAGAGATGGAGAAGCAAAGAGCTGAACCAGTGGGTATGGGCGTCGGGATATCGTAGGTGGAGAACCATAGAGCTCAAGAGGTGGTGTTGTCCTAAATAACGTGTCAATCTATGTCATATGAACTAGTAGATTCGTTGGACTCGCCTTCAACATCTAAATTAGCAGCAAGATACTATAAAGCAACAATGCCAGGGTCGCTCGCGACAAATACAGATGAGCCACTCCTCGCCTTGGCCTGAGCAACTGACGATACTCCAATGTACATGACAAGGGAGTTTATCAATGACAGGTTGTACAATTCGGTTGAACTCTCTGGCACGCCAGGCAGCCTCGAGCGATCTTTGAGTGTTGTAAGGAATGAAGGGGTTCCATGATTAAGGAGGTATTGATCAAGGTTGTTGCGGAGGTCAGCGCTTTTGAGACGTGAAGCAAAGTCTGATAGAATGGGTGGTATCGGTCCCATTTCGGGAATCGAGTCAAATTTGATGTTGCGTAGATGGGGGTCAGGAAGGATGATAGACATAGGGAACGCGCTGAGGATGATATTGCGAAGCTGGATGCAATGCGGAGGGACGGCATCGCAGAGACCGAAGTAGTATTCGCTGAGGAATTCTGGGAAATCATGAAGAAGGACGAGGAGGAGTCGGAGGGAGCCACGATACAGATCACGAGATGCGAGTTGGAGATCAGCCTCTTTCAAGAATGGAGCCAAAAACTTAAAGAGGGAAAGAAGGAGCTTGTGGAACGCAGACCAGCCCTAACGGAATCGAGTCAAAAAAGGTCCTCTAATATTGAATTATAATCTCACCTCCCGGTTTTCGGATAGCAGCAGTTTTGGCATGAAGAGTCGATGTGAAACAAGACAGAGCCAAGAGAATGCGAACCCAGGAAAGTAAGTGGGTTGCAGAGAACTGAAAGTGTCACTGCAATACTGTGAGCGATGATAAAATAACAACTGGAGAATGGTTTACCTGATGGCGATCAGCAGAGAGAAATAAGCTGAGCCTAGATGTTCTGCGATGGAGTGCAGGTCGCTAATGAGACTGGAGAAGAATCCTGAAGAACGGCTTCTGTGGAAATCAAGATAGTCTCCGCAGCAACAGTATTGACATTCAAAAAGTATAAATGTACATTAAGCAGAAAGATCGGAGTGATGTATGGACTACACCTTTGGACAGCATTATAGAGGCATGAAATGAAAAGACGGTATGTGAAGGTATTAACAGGGTTGACAATTCAGATTCAAACTTTACATGTTGGCTTGTGCGGACATGTCGATCACGGCGTGCTCCCATGGAGGTCGTGATTGTGAGTAGAAAGTAACTGAGTCGTTGAGTTATATTTGGTTTCGGCTTGATAAATAACGAGGTTGATAACGGGAAAATACATGTAAGAGCAGTAGCTTGATTTGGTGAACAAATTGCTCTTGAACGAAGATTAGCATACACTGTGACATGCGGAAAAAAAAACATACGAGGGGTACAGACACAACAGTTGCCCATCACCGGTCACCTGCAAGCTCTCGATCTAAAATAAGAAGCGATGCAGAAGGTGGTCGAGATGCAGCACAAGCGACGAACTAGAAGCTGGAAGCCTGTAACTGGTAAAGACAAGGAAACAAGGGAGCACAACCCAATGAGGTTGCGGCTGACCCGGGACCGGCGACAACCGTGAAACTTTTCGCGAAAACTCTTCTACTACTACTAGGTACGGGAATCATGACTCTGCACTATGATAGTACGATTCACATGAATCACTGAGTCCTGAAGCTTGAAGGCTTGAAGACCACGGAAGTGCCCATGCACGTATGGCATATGCATGATGTTGTCTTGCGCTCGTTCAACTGTCTCTCCCGTTCACAGACTGGGCTACCCAGAAACCGGCTGCTAGTGCAACTTCTACGGAACATATTGTCGACAATCAGAATTTGATTCTAGTGGGGAATCCAGACACACCGGTGTCTTGGCTGCACTTGCCACAGTATACCAGCAATGACATCATTGCATCGCCAGGTGTTCAACCAAGCTTCTGAAGGAGCGCATATTCATACATGCAAACCCAGTCAGCAACGTCTATACATTATGCGAGTGATGTTTGCTATAAGGAATGCTTAATTCATGGGCGCCAATGCACGACTGTCATTGTCTGACCCCCGTATACTAGCCCAGAAAGTAAATTATCATTAGATCAAACCACCCTCCCTAGCCTGAAATATATGTAGTTACCATTAACTCACTATCAACCAGATTGCTTCTGCGGTCCAGAAGTCCCGCCGCTCCACTCTAGTCTTCGTTCCTAAGACGCGCTGTGGCAGCTTCCAGCGCACCTATTCTGATGTTCTTCTGTGGTAATCGTTTACCTCGACTGTCTGTGCCTCCTCGAACCTTGAACACGTATGCCTTGGAGCTGCTTTGTAAGAACACAATACTGAACTTCGCTTGTGCAAGCTGACTCCTAGACTCGACTTCGGCTCGTGTCTTCTTGCCTTTCTCAACTCGAGCCTGGAGCTCCGCATCCACTGGTCATTCTCCCATGCAAGAAAGCAATTCACGCGATTTTCATTTGATCAGAACCCGCGCCCTTGCCAGACTTTTTACCTGTCCAGTCTTCCCCCTGTGGGTCTGACGCTCCATGAAATTGGAGGGATGCTGTTCAGTGAGCTCCAAAATAACGTCAAGCACACTGGCTGTTTTCACGTCTGTATCACCATACCACCCGGGAGACGGATAGCTTTGCTCACCCTCTGTCTTCCTCACGTGACTGAGGTGAAGTTCAAGATCTTCATTGTCGAAGTATGTCAAAGTAATGGCTGCAAAAAGCGTCGACAATACATCCTGTGATGATTCGGAATCAAAAACGTACCAGCATCCTTCTGTTCGAATTCCTTTTCGGCATTGAAGACTATAAAGAGAGATAAATCGAAACAAGTACCAAAATGCACTCCCACTAACCGAGAACGGGTAGATGTCGTAAAATAGCCAGTTTTAGTGGAACCAGGTTATCTGGATGCACCTAAAATTGACTAGTTAGTAAACATAAACGTGATAAGAAAAATATTTATTACCCAATACTTTGTCGTCTGACGTACAAAGGCGCTTTGGTTCCCCTGCGCTTGAATCGCCCTGTACAGGATATCCTCGAGTGCGGACCAGGTCATAGAGCTTGGATAACTTGACGATCAAGATGTCCCAATTGTATTTATAGAAGGGCTCAAGATAGTGTTGAATAAACGTAGGTTTCAGCAGAAAATTTGTGATTTTAGATCAAGGATGACACATCAGGAAATTCAGAAAACGCACATCGTGTTTCTATGGCGATGACTGGTGAATTGGTATAAGGCGAGAGGCATGAATGGACGTACCTTTGAAATTTTAAGAAAACCAGTGATATCTAACTTAGTGTACAATGCCAAATCGTGAACATCTGCTACGAGGATAGCGGCTTCTTCTTGAAGGCTGTGAAAGAGGTCTTCGAGTGAGGTATCAGATTGGTTATCGACAATCATCATCATCATCGGAGCCCTTGTCGGGTCCATAGTCCGAAGGGCGTGCTCGATGCGATCCTGGGTCAGAGGAATGGGCGTGGAGCGCCTCGGATGAAGATGGAGAAGATTCTTGAGCGACGAGTTTTTGAACGTCCTTTTCAGCATCCCGTATACGGCGAGATAACTCGGCGGTCTGGACAGCGTCAGCTGAAGCAGAGGAATGAACTGAACTTTGATTATTTACCTTTTGTTTCTGCAAATCATAAAACTTTATCGAGCTCCTGTTTCAGCATGGCGGTGAAATCACGTTCATCTTTGTCGTCCCAGCTGTGAGAGGTGGTGCGAGACTACCCAGATAGAGTGGATGAGTGTGGCTCGAGCAGTTTGGAGAAGGATTTACCTTGAGTTCACGTTTCAACAAATTGTAGTCGATGTAGAAGGGTCTCCATTCATCATAAAGGTTAGTCTGTCAGAACAAGAACATCTAGTTCGCTTCACCTAATTTACCATACGCAAAAATGACGCACCGTGATCTTCCTTCCAAACTTCACAATGTGCCTGTCAACGACTAGCTGGGAATAAGTGGAAATCCTTTAGAAAAGAGCGTTCTACAAGTCTGCGGCGGTAGCTCACCAACACGGAACAAGGAGAAGAAGTTTGGGCGTTAACGCGTTAATTTCTACAATATAGATAGAAGAGGGTAATTGAATTTCTAGAAAGAAAGGAACGTGGCGGGACAACAGCCCGTCTAAAAAAGGAGCGTTTGATGTATGTAAGTACTCGTGTCTAAACACTGCGTGTTGTCCAAAAATTCCGATGGCTTAGAGATGGCTGAGAATCTGGGGGTACCTAAGGTTTCAGCCACGTCGAAGCCATCAAATATCAGCCGACTTCTATGGTATCGGAAATCTGACTCTTTAAATTACCACCGGCGTCGACGATAGCTCGAACTTAGAGGTACCCTCACCTACGTCTTAACTACTTACAGTGACTTCTACCTGAGGTGTGTTTTGCGTGTTGTACATCTACAATATATCAGTACGAAACGTTTGACATTACCTCACCTTTTCTTGGAGGTATGCAGTCGTTGTGCCAGTAAGTATTCAGACCAAGGTGCGCAGCGGAGCTTCAATTCATCTTGCCTTGAACCCTTTAACAACGATCTTGACGATGTCGAGCAGCGACCACACACTCCTAACTCTAAATCAAGCATCCACCACTTAGCTAGCATGTCACGGTGTAGCCTATCTCAAGTTGAATAACACTCCAATGAACTCAAGATCAAGCAGGTCGAT